TAGTAGTAGTGGTGGTAGTAGCCGTGGTAGTAGTGGTAGTAGTAGTAGTAGTAGTAGTAGTGGTCGGGGTAGTAGTAGTAGTAGTCGTAGTAGTAGTAGTAGTAGTAGTAGTAGTAGTGATGGTGGTAGTTGGTATTCGTAGTAGTAGTGGCCGCAGTAGTCGCAGTAGGACTAGTAGTAGGAGTAGTGGTCGTAGAAGTAGTACTAGTAGTCGTCGTCGTCGTAGTAGTAGTAGTAGTAGTAGTACGTGTAGTAGTAGTAGTAGTAGTAGCAGCAGTAGTAGTAGTAGTCGTAGTAGTAGGAGTAGTAGCAGCAGTACTAGTAGTCGCATTCGTAGTTGTAGTAGTAGTGGTCGTACTACCAGTAGTAGTCGTAAAGGTAGTAGTCGTAGTAGTAGTAGTAGTAGTAGTCGTAGTAGTAGTAGTAGTAGTAGTAGTAGTCATAGTAGAAATTGTAGTCGCTGTAGTAGTAGAGATAGTAATAGTAGTTGTAATTGTCGCAGTAGTAGTAGCAGCAGTAGTCGTAGTAGTAGGTGTCGCAGTCGTATTCGTAGTCGTAGTAGGAGCAGTAGTCATAGTAGTAGTAGTAGTAGTAGTAGTAGTAGTCGTGGTAATAGTAGGAGTAGTAGTAGTAGTAGTAGTAGTCGTCGTAGTAGTCGTAGTAGTCGTAGTAGTCGTAGTAGTAGTAGTAGGTTAGTAGTATAGTAGTAGTAGTAGTAGTGACTAGTAGTAGTAAGTAGTAGTAGTAGTAGTAGTAGTAGTAGTAGTAGTAGTTAGTGTAGGTGTTAGTAGTTGTAGTAGTAAGTAGTAGTAGTAGTAGTAGTAGTAGTCGTAGTAGTCGTAGTAGTAGTAGTAGTAGTAGCATTAGTAGTAGTAGTAGCAGTAGTAGTAGTAGTAGTAGCAGTAGCAGTAGCAGTAGTAGTAGTAGTAGTAGCAGTAGTAGTAGTAGTAGTAGTAGTAGTAATGGTAGTAATGATAGATACCGAAGACAGCAGGGCGCAACATGGAACTACTACGCCACAGTTAAAAGGGGTATGTGGGGGCCCTCGGTAGCGTTATTCTTGACGGGTGGTTGGCCTGCGCGCGCCAGGCAATGCGTTGGCACCCCCTGCCGCCTTTGCCAAAGCAAAGTGATCGCGGGTCGCCCGAACATGATCAAGAGGTTGGCTCCATGTGTATGTTGTCGGTTTTTTGTTGTGAGTTTTTTGTCAGTGGTGGTGGTGGGGGCGGCACGGGCCTAGCGTAGAGGACGACAGGATGGGGAATGTGGTGTATGTAGCCACTCTCTAAGGAGCAACGACCCACGGGAGTGCCACAAGCTGTCTCGGCCTCGCTCGCTGGGTCCCGCCCACCCATTATGAAAGGCGTAGCACCCGAGACCCGTCACAGGCAGAGATTGCCACCGGACAGACGGCCACCGGAAATCGATGTGGGCGCCACGTGCGCGACGCTCGGGAGGTGCGCCAGGTGCCCCCGCCTCGGCAGCCCCGCGGGCCCCCTCGGCCGCGCCGCGCGCGTGGCGCCCTCGCCGTGCTGGCTGCCAGGCGCGCAAACCAAGCGGAGGCCCGACTGGCCCCAAGGGTCCGGACGTGCTCGCGCCGAGGAGGATGTTTCGTCGGCGGCGAGGCAGAGGCAGTCCGCTCCCGCAGGGCGGCTCGGGGCAATCGAGAGGCGAATTGGGCGCCGAGAAGAGCGCGCGACCGCAGATGCCTGGCCGGCTGCGGCCTCTCGGGGCCCTGGCGTGGCAGACGCGCGTGTTGCGGCAGAGGCGCCGCGCGCGCCGCGCGCGTGCCGCGTCATCCTTGCCGCACCAGGTGCGCCCGAAGGGGCTTCGGCGCGCACGCGGGGAGAGAGCGCCGAGTGCGTTGCGGAAGTCGATGACTGGAGAGGAAGCAGGCTTACCAGTTCGAAACATATCCATATCCCTATGTTTGACATCACCTCACCTCGATGCCGATCTTAAGGATTCCCTCAGTTTCTGAGGGCCTATTCCTAAGATTGTCCTCGCTTTTTACTCGCCCATCTTAGGGATAGGGGTACGTTCGAGGCTGGTTAGCATGCTGCCAAATAATTTCCAGATGTCTAAAAGATGGTTCAAACATGTGGTAAGTATGTAAAACATGTTTGACACATGTTTGTTTTCACATGTTAAACACATATGTAATTCCATTCTAGGATTGTTCGAGTGTCCATTGTCATGGCATCCACAACGAGTGCGCATCGGCGCACGTGGCAGCGCACGTCGGGCGATGTGACGACACCGTCAGCATACTTCAGCGACTGCAAGTGGTGTGGTTACGTCAGGGTGTGGTACCCGATCGGAGCCGCTGGGGTTTGGGGGGTCACCACGTTGCGCCAAAGGTTTGACGAGCCATCGTCGGGGCGCGGCAGGGATCTCTGTCGTGGTCATCGCCCGCCACCAGGGTGCAGGTTGCAAACCACACCCTTTGCAAACCGCACCCGTCGGAGTTGCCAAACAGAGTGTGGCCTCCCGCCTGCGCGTTCGTCGTTTTCTGTCTGTTTCTCCCCTCCTCGTCCCCTTCCGCCGGGCAGCACAGCCTGCCAAGGACCAGCGTGGCGGCGTCTAGGGCTTCAGCCGACGGCAGACTCATGGCCACACCATTTCTTGGCTCAGTTCTGATTGAAACTCGACCGGGCTCTCATCATTTGATCCACGGTCCCTGAGCTTTTTGTAGGGGGCGCATAAAACGCTGCGAGCTCCGTCGCGTTTGCATCTGTTGTTCGAAAGGAATCGTGCGACAGCGCGCAGTCGACAGGTAAGGAAAAGCGCGCTTTGGGGGCAGGGAAGGTCAAAACAGGGGCCCCAGCTTCATCCTGCCCCCCCGTCCTCCGAAAGGGGGAGAGTCTTCCACAATGGCGCGTGGTTCGAAAAACAAGAAACTGCGTACACACATACATTCTTTCGGTAGCAAATCACGGGAGCCTGGTATACCCTTTCAACTTGGTCTTTAGCATCGATTCGCGTCGATTAGCGTCTGGGAGTCGGTCTGATAGCGCCGATGTAGTCTCGGCTAGCGTCGATCAGCATCGATTTCGCGTCAACTCTCGTCGATTAGCAAGGGCCGACAAGATAGTATGGGAGGCTCCCGTGAGTACCACCGAACATTCTCGGAGGTCCGCGCGGAAATCTTGGATTGGCGCTGGGCACCCCTAGCGGCGCCTCTGGCGCCGCCCCTGCGCGCCAGGGAAGGGGTTCTATCGCCGATCCAGGAAATCCGCGCGGATCCTTGAGCAATTCTAGACGCTTCGCGTATCCCCACCAGCCCACCTCGCATTCGTTGCGTATTATTATTGCAGGTGCGTTGCCTGTTGTAGCTAATTAGCCTCGCCTGCTGGCCCAGACGACGCCTTCCGCTCCCTGTCCGCTGCCTCGGAGCCGCCGACCAAAAAAAGTATCCCCACCAGCCCATCCAGAAATGATGTCCAGGCGAGTTGAGAGGTGATCAGGGAAGCGCGGGCTGGCTGGTGAAGGAGAGAGGGGGCGAAGGAGAAAATTGGATGGATAGATGAGGGAGTAGGGAGAAGGAGGATGAATAGGATGAGGAGGATGAGGAGGCGGAGGGGGAGGATGAGGATGAGAAGGGATAGGAGGAATGAGGAGGAGGAGAGCAAGCAAAAGGGCCAGAGGTCTCTTGGATGCTTCTCGGAGCCTCTTGGGGTATCTCTTGGGCGTCTTGGGGGTCTCTTGGCAGTTGTATGGGGCTCTTCGGCGTCTTGGGTGCCTCGGGGGGGCCTCTTGGGGCCGCTTGGGATCCTTTTGGGGGCCTCCTGGGGGCCTCTTGGGGGCCTCTTGGGGCCATCTTGGGGCCATCTTGGGACCTCTTGGGGCCTCCTGGGCGCTTCTTGGGGCCATCTTGGAGGAGATCGGTCAACGAAGGGGGGTTCCTCATTACGCCCCCCCCCCCCCCCCCCAGGAGGCCAAACTGGGGCCAAAACCATAGTAAAACCAATGATTGTTGCTTCCTCGCCGAGGCCGTCTTGAACGCTCGAACTACCCGCGGCCCCCCCCGTCCAGGTCCATGGGGAGGGGGTAGGGGGAGTGGTAAACCCCTCCCCGAAGGGGAAGAAGGAGGGGTTGAAGAGGAAACGCTCTAAACCACCTGCGCCCAGAGGGCTGGTGGGATTATGTTCCTCTGACGGCGTCTGCACCCGTAATCAGTTTGCATCTGCTGCTGTGTGATGGGTATCGTGTGCCAGCGCGCACGCGACAAGTGCGATCCCCCCCCCATTCTTATCAAAAGCGCCAACGCAGAGTGCTCGCAGGAGGTGGGGAGGGCCCGCTTCCGACCCAGATTGTTCTGCCACGTGCATTTTGAATGATGTGTGTTGATCTGGACGGGGGGCTCATTGTCCCTGGTCGGCCGCCGGTTGAGTAGGGGAGAGGGTGTTGTATCAACGATCAGTGATGAATCCCTCCCCGAGAGGGCAGATGGGCGTTGGAGGAGCACGTGCTCTAAAATACTTCTGTCAGAGAGCTGGTGGGGCTCAAGTGGACAGAAGATGCTGGCAGACCACATTTCGTCTGGCAGATTGCGTCCAGCAAATCTGCTTACAACATCTAGCCGCGCAGTACCTGCAGGAATGGTCCGACCTTTAGCTGTGGACATGGGGTCTGTGATAGCCCCCGTTCATCCTCTTCCTCCCACTCTTCGCAGAGAAGTTGTTCTTGTCCTGAGCAAAACCACTCTGCGGAATGATCAGTTGGACCATTCTCGTAGCATGCACGTTTTCCATGCTTCTTGGTACATGGATAGCGCCGCCATCCATGCCCGATTGGTGATTTGTTTGCCACATCTACGGCGGCGCCTTCATGGCTGGAGGAGGGGAAGGAGGAGATGATGAGGATGCTCGACCTCCGCTGCAGTCACCGTCGCTCCCACTGCTTTTCTGTGTGCTATCGGATGCTCTATCCACTCTCCAGTACCACATCGGCAGCGCACCTCGTTTTAGCTGCGCGTGCGAACGAGCCGGGCTGGGCAGTCGTTGGACGTTCTCTCGGAGCGCTTGAGTATTCCACCAGATGTCGCTGGGGCCACCTTCATGGCCGCAGGCGGCAGCCGCCATCAGGAATGGGCGAGAGTCGAGAGACCGCAAGGATTCTCATAAGTTCCGTCTTGGGGAGGAGGCCAATTTGGCCGTCTCGGGCCGTCATTTTCTGGAAAGAGAGGCACTCTTGGAGCCCTTCTGGTACCCTCTTGGGGGATCCACCGTGAGGCCTCAGAGGCCCAACGGAGGCGAACAGGCGAGGCAAGTCGGATGGAGCAAACACATTAATGTGTTGCAAGTGTTGTTTGCCTCATTCAGGCCTCCACGGCGTATTTCTTGAGAGCTCCATGGCCACTTCGAGCCCTGTTGCGGTCTCTGCTGGAGTCCATCCTGACCCGGCTCGGGCTGTCTTATGTCATCTTCCGGGGGCGGAAAAGAGGGGGGTGATGACTAGGGGGGGGTGGATATCATGGCGTGGGCCATGATATTTCCCCAGACTTCATGGCGCCTCTTCTTATTTCATTACGTCCCTGGCCCCCCCGCTGGGCCGCGCACATGCCGCCGGTCATGATTTGCACCCCCCCCCTCTTGGACACACCCCTCTTGGCCGCTCCCGAATCTTGCATGCCATGCCATTTTGAGCTCTTCGAGTCCGTCTCAGACGTGTTCAGAGGCCCCCGCGCATCTTCCGTGGATCGGCGCTTAGCCCCCCCCCGGCGGCGGCGCCACTGGCGATCCCCCGGCGCGCTCCGCGCGCTGGGTGGACGTGGGGCCCAGAGCCGATCCGAGGAACCTGGGCGGACCTCCGAAAGTGTATGTTTATGCTTTATGCCGTCTTCTATTTTTACCAGCCTCGAACGTATCCCTAAGATTGACACGCCAAAAGGCGATGACAATCTTAGGGATCCGCCATCCAAAAATAAGGGAATCCCTAAGATTGACATCGTGATGAGGAGGTGCCCAGCATAGGGATTGGGATATGTTCCAAGCTGGTAAAATCGAGTCGGGCCTGTCCCCCTACAGGGGGATTTTCGACGAAAAATTAAAAATACCATAGAAATACACCAAACAGCTAAAACAATATTCAAAAAATAGTCCACCGACTATGTTTGGACTATGTTTTGACCATTTGGGGGATATTCTTTATTTTTCGTCGATAATTCCCCTGTAGGGGGACACGCCCGACAATGGTCAGATTTCTTTGTGTTTGTGGCTCTGCTCGGGCCGTTCGAGCGCATCCCGCGCGGCCGAGGAGCCGAGTGTCCTGCGCCCTGGGGGGCCGTGGCTCGGGGGCCCCAGCGGTCGCTCGGGGCGATCCGGGCACCCTTGATCAGGAGGGAAAAAACACACAGACACAATGAATCGTCGATCCCCCAGAAAACATGGGAAAATAAGGGAAGTAGTGGGGAAGACAGAAACCCAGAAAACATAGGAAGATATGGGAAACCTTTTTGCTTGTGTGTATCTATGTGTGTGTGTGTGTGTGTCCAAGGGCCCCTTCATTTGAACGCTCTCGGCGAGGCGCAGATGCCGGAAAGCATGGGGGGCAACTTAGGGGACAGGCTCACTTGGCGGCGCGCAAAAGGGGGGTAGGGGGAGGGGGGAAGGCTTCTTAGAAGCACCCTGCTTCTTAGAAGGCCTCGGCCTTGCGTCTATGGAGAAGGCCCGCGCCTTCTGAGAAGCAGGGGTGCTTCTAGGAGGGCTTCCCCCCTCCCCCATACCCCCCTCTGCGCGCCGCCAACTCACGGAAAGGGGGGGGTGCATCGGCCCCCAATCGCCCATTGATCGCCGACAGGGGCTCGGTAGCTCCACCTAGGGGGCCACATGTGAACCCTACCTCTACCCCCCACGATTTCCGAGGGAGAGGGTGGGGTTCACTTCGTTCGGGAGCTCCCGAGCGAAGTGCACCCCACCCTCCCCTCAAAAATCATCGGGGGGTAGGGGTAGGGTTCACATGTGGCCCCCTGCCGCCCACCCAGGAGCGTGCGGGCTCGCAACCGGGGGGCCCACCGCGGCTGCATCGGCGGTGCCTCGCCGAGTTCGGGGCGGCGCTCCCCCCTCCAGTCCGCCCGCCCTGGCGCTCCCCTTGCAGGGGAGAGGGGAGGAGGAGGCAAGAGGTTCGAGGGTCGACGGCTCGAGGCTCGAGCTCAGACTTTATTTTTCCGCCACCTGTTGGGTCTCCAGGGGTGCGGGCAATGTCTATATCCACATCCAGTGCGTCTTGGAGTTTCGGGCTTTGTTCCCCAAAAACATGAGGCGCACTGCATGTGGATTCAAATCTGGCCCCCAAAGGCTACATGTTATCCATATCCAGCGCTCCTCGGCCTTGCGGCGCCCCTTCCAAGAAAGTCCAAGACGCATTGGATATGGATGAATTATTGCCCGCAAGGGGGGGCTCCTCGTCGCCACGGCTGGATCCGCCTCGAAACCGTGTTTAGAGCGCACAAGTCCGAGGATCTGTTGTGAAGGCCTTGCGGCTCAAGGCAGGACCTCCCCCGGGACCCCCCCGCTGCTGGCGCTCCCCCCAGGGGCCCGCAAGGATCCTGGGGCGCGGTATTCTGACCGGGGATCCCCCCCCCCTGTAGGCAGGACCTCCCCCAGCACCCCCGCTGGCGATCCCCCTGGATGGGGCTGTCCCCTTGTGCCCTTGTCCTGTGGGAGGAGGCGGGGGGAGGAGGGGTTTTGAGCTCTGCCTGTTCACAGGGGGACCGCTATCTCGTCCTCACTGTGCACAGGGGGGACATGGGGGAGAGCGGGGGAGGGGGAGGGGCTGAGTTCTCCCTGTCCACAGGGGGACCAGGGGTGGGCATTGAATTCCCCCCCCGGCCTTCCCCCCTCCTCCTCCTCCTCCTCCTCCTCCTCCTCCTGCTCCTCCTGCTCCTCCTGCTCCTCCTCCTCCTCCTCCTCCTCCTCCTCCTCCTCCTCCCCCTCCTTTCCTCCTCCTCCTCCTCCTTTTCCTCCTCCTCCTCGTCCTCCTCCTCCTCCGGGTCCCTCCGACGCTCGGGTTTCGGACACCCCCACTACCCCGCTGGGGTTCACTTGGCAGCAGACATCCTTCAGATTCTGAACGCCATCCAGTGTTTTCCCAGCCCTCCTGTGTGGGCTTCTTGTTTTGAGTGTTGAATAGATCACTGCGGTCGCGTCTCCTTCTCCCAACCCCCTATCCTCATCCTTCCTGCCTCCTATTTCCTGGCGTCTGCTTCATGTATTATCCTTCCTGCCTACTACTTCTTCTTCTTCCCTCCTATTTCTTCGCGGGCTCCTGGGCGGAACGGTGGAGTAGCGGAGTAAGCGCACCCAGGCCGGATTTCGTAGCTCCCTGGGGAGGTGCGAACTGTGCAATTGTCGCCACTTCCTTGGGCTCCCGGGAGGCACGGCGGAGTAGCAGAGTCAGGTAATCCCGGCGGGACTCGCAGCTCCCCGGTGGGTACTGATTATGCAATTGTCGCCACGTTCGGGGGTCCCTGAGAGGCACGGCGGAGTAGCGAAGTAAACGGACCCAGGCGGGACATCGCAGTTCCTTGGGGGGTTGTGAACTGCGCAACTGTCCCCACTTTCGTAGGCTCTTGGAGGCAACGCGGAGTAGCGGAGTAAACGGACCCAGGCGTGACCTCGTTGTTCTTAGCGTGGTCGAGGATTGTGCAGTTGTCGTCATCTTCGTGGGCTCCTGGGAGGCACGGCGGAATAGCAAAGTTAACGGACCCAGGCGGGACCTCTCAGCTCATTGGGGAGCTGCAAATTGTGAAAGTGTCGCCATTCTCGTGGGCTCCCGGGAGCCACGGCGCAGTGGTGGAGCAAGCAGACCCCGGCGGGATCTCGCCGCTCCCTTGGGGGCTGCGAGCTGCGCAACTGTCGCTACCTTCGTGGGCTCCTGTGATGTCCGACTGAGTCGGGGCCCTGAAGAAGGAACCCAATTCGTTGGGGAGGGGCTCCGCGTAGTGTTTCGCAGCTTGCCCTAGATTTTCCTTATGTTTTCGACAGGACATCGCAGGTTAACCCATGGAAAGAGGGGGCCTCGTTCCTTAGGTCAACGCCCCGACTGTAGAGTCAGGCGAGACCTCGCAGATCCTTGGAGGGCTGCGAGCTGAGCAGTTGTCGCCACTTTCGTTGGCTCCCGGAAGGCGCGGCGTGGCAGCGGAGGGCCCGAGACCTCGCAGGTCCCTGGGGGGCTGCGACTTGTGCACTGTCGCCGTTTATCACCACGTACCAAACCACCCCAACCCAACCTGAAGGCTTCAATTTGGCCTCCATTTCCAGTGGGGGGGGGTCGGGGAACGTTGAAAAAACACATGGAGCCCGTACCCCCCCAACCCGAAATTCGGGTCAAATTCGGGTCTTCGGGTTGGGTTGGGGTGGTCTGGTAGGTAGTCAGTTTACGCGGGCTCTTGGGAGGTCCATCGGAGTTGGGGGCCACGCGGATCCGGTCGAGGTTTCGCGGTTCCTTGGGGGGGTTGCAAACTTCGCTGTTGTCCTTGCGTTCGTGGGCTGTTGGGAGGCACGGCGGAGATGAGGGCAGAGCAGACTAGATCGTGCATATCAGGCGATGTGTTCTTCTGTATGGAGCGTTCATACAAGTATTCGCTTTGCGTGGAGAAGGGTTTGGGTACGTCCCTGGTATTTTTCTCATAAGTCACATGTTCCCACCATCCTGTGTTGAGTCGGGCCCTCGTTTTGAATCAGCAGGGCCCCACGCCTCGTCCTTCCTTCTTCCTCCTTCCTCCGCTTTCCGCGTCCTCCTATTCTTGCATCTGCACTCCGCATGTCCACTCGGGCACACCTCTGACATGTTTCGTGGCTTCATAGGGAGCTCCAACTAAGGCTCAAAGCCAGGGTCTGCATGGCGTCGACGCCCTTCACGCCTGTCGCGGCCCCATAGGGAGCTTCACTCCTGTTGAGGCCCAAATGCCAGGGTCGGCATGACGTCGGTGCCTGATTTCGGCACGCCCTTCACACGTTTCGTGGGGCCTTGGGGAGCTTCAGTTAAGGCCCAAAGCCAGGGCCCGCATGGCTTCGGTGCTTCATGTCAGCACACCCCTCAAAAGTCTCGTGGCCCACACGGTAGGT